ATCTAAATTGAAATATTTATGCAGTGAATTTAAAACAACCTCAAAATAAGCTTAGGTATAAATAAAATGACTTCATATACCTCAATAAATATCTCACTCTTTTTAGTTGAAATAAGGTAAAAAATTTTACACCTCAAAAATACCTCTTTTGTTACAAATGTAAGAAAATAAACCTGGTATACCTTAAAAATCACCTTATCAGTCTGGATGATTTGAAGTGAATTTTAAACAACCTCAAAACAAGCTGAAGTATATATAAATCAACCTCGTACACCTTAATTACAACCTTTACGAGGTATAATTTTTATTTCTGTTTTCTCTGCAACCTTAAATATACCTCAAATATACCTCAAAACAACCTTAATACCTCAAAAATACCTCAAATCAACCTTAAATATACCTTAAATTTTCATAAGGGTTCTTTATTTGTGATATTCACCTGAATTAGTATTGAAAACGATCCAATTTGAACTGTAGGTCAGAATTTCTGATTCTTAATTAAATCAATAAAAACAGAAGTTTTGTTCAAATGATGAATCTCTTTTATTCACAATTCAGGAAGTGTTTATGGGATCTCTCTGGTCCCTCATCGCAAAAATAAATTCCCATACTTAATGCGTAACAAAATTAAAAGTGGAAAAAAGAATTCTAAAAAAATTATCGAACAGCAGCTGTCGCCATAGCAAAGTATAGGTAGTAAAGAGTTTGCAGTGCACCATAGTTTAGAAAATACCATCCCTACGGTATTTCAACTATTCATTTAGTAATATTTTTACTCACATGATTACTGTTTATCAGAAATTCTGATTTTCAAAATTTTAGTTCTCATTACCAATATTAAGCAGCAAATACAAAACTAATAAGTAAATGTAACCGAATTTTTTTTTTATGTAAAGTTTTAAACTACCATAAAAAATTATCAAATTTTAATGCGTGTTTTAAAATAATATATTACTTATAACTTTACCGAAATCAATACCAAAGTGCTTGAATAAAAATTACTGTACTTTTTCTTGTTCCTGTACCACCAAGAAACACGGCAAAAATTCACCATATTCTGGTACTTTTGACCATCTCACTGTAGTGAGTGTTTCTAACTTAGAGTGTCTTTAAAATGTACTTTTAGAAATAATTAACCTAATGTACAAAAATTTGGTTTATTTTTTAAAACGATTTGGCTCTGTCTACATTGCTCAAGCAAAGTATTCCTTACACATGAAGCAGTTTTGTATCAAACAATATACAGAGCACAAAATAAAAAAGCTGACCACCCCAAATATCTTTTGATCTAATGAGCGGATCTTCTAGTTCTATGACTTAATCTTGCATTTTTGAAGGGGCAACCTCATATATACTAATTAATTAGTGTAGATGATATTTTAAGTTACGAAACACCAGACAGAAAAACCTACTTTCTCTGAATAAACGTACCTTATTTTCGAAGGATTTCTCAACACCCTAGGTGTAGGGGATAGCCGCAATCTAGGAAATATGGTCCCTATCGTTTAGACCTTTTAATGTTATTTAAATTTTTACCTATTCTACCTGATCTCGAGAGCTTTTTAAGCGAATTTAAAAATTTCTGCACAAAATTACAAAATTCGCTTTTTGAAAGATAATTCCTTCAAAATACAACTTTTAGTAATTAGCTATTATTGTTTATTATTTATTGTTTGTATTAGTCAAATAAGTTTCGAATTGTTAGGTATACAATTTCTTACATTAATTTAAAAAATGTAATTTTACATAGCAGAGTGCAAAGTTTGTGCGAAACTGATCGAATTGTTTCTGAAAAATCAGATTTTGAAGAAGTCATGTTTTCAAAATTCAATTTTTTACTTTATTCGCTCAAATTGCGCATTTTGCCATGTAAAATTGCATTCGTTAAACTAATGAAAAAAA